TTTAAAGCCTGCGCGCTCCCGCTCCCCTTTGCCGCAGCGCGGAGGGGAGTGCGCGCCCTTCGGGCGCCCGTTTCACCTTGTGAAACCATTCACCCCTGCCCACGTCCCTAAAGTATCCCTTTCCCTTCCTTAACGTCTCCCGGGGCACCCGGGCCCGGGGAGTCTTTATGTCGCTATAAATATATTACACTCGAGCAGTCTATTCTCTCTGATTGTTTCTAGTTCTAGTTCGGTGGATGTAAGCCATTCCCTCCATGGACGAACAGGCATTTTGAATCGTCGCCACTTGTGTGTCTCGTGCATGCATGTGCCACGTACAACACGCTGTGATAAAATTTCGCTGTGATAATATTTCCTTCCCTGCTGCCACAACAACATTCTCATCACTATATCCGCTCAAGAGAGCTCTACATTTTCTGTAAAAAATTTCACATAGTTCATCTTCTGTAAAATTCGAAGACATGATTCCTGAGTCAGAAGTGTGGCTTTGCTCTTGCTGTTTTTGCTTACTAAGCATACTTGTCATCTCCTTCTTCAACACACCTAGCTCCTTTGCCAGTACTGGCTTCAACGCAGGGTCCTTCACGTCTCTTAGGACTAATGCCACAAGTTTCCGACATCGATTATCGAGAAGATGGGTTTCCGGTTGCTTTTCAGCCTCACCGCTTGCCATGTCGTCCTCGTTAAGCTTAGGTGGAATGTAATCGGGTGACTCGTCGACTAGGAAAGCAGTTGCACGATCGAGAAAAGTTTCGTCATCTGAAGATATTTATTGTGGAGGTGTTTGTCTTTGTACATTACTTAGTACGATTATTGAACAAGCGAAAAAACTTTCATCAACATGAAGATAGTTTGAAAATAAACCACGACAGATATGCATATCTTCACTCGCAATTGATGGCTAATGAGCATCTAAGTAGGTAAACGCACCTTCCTCCTCTCCTTGTTCGATCCACTTTGCCTTGGATTCCCATGTTCCGCGATTGTCCAAAAGAGGCCATTCTATTACTTCTGACATGTGAGTGATGATGCTCTGTGGTACTCGTGCTCGACCAGCGCGTAAAGAATTCCGCAACAAACATGTTTCCAATGGTGGCTTCAAAACTATCATCTTGAAAAAGCCGCCCTGGTCTCGAGCGAGCTGAAAGTAAGGCTTGCGCATGGATCGAAGGTAAAAATTGTCATCTAGAAGATGGATCTTCTTCGAAGATGATGTCGTCTTAGACGCGGTTGATGACTTTCCGGCTTCGTCCAGAAAAGCAGTTGCGTTTGCGGTCGTGTCCCGCTTCACCTCAGCCAACACAGAAGCACGAGCCGCACGCCACACTTCAGGACTGAAAGAGGAGGAAGAGGACGAACTAGAAGAACTACGCACCACTGTTGACGTCGCGGCTAGTACTTGATCCCTAGTATCTTGCGACATGTTTGTTCCCAACTGCCTCTCCACTGCGTCAAATTCATGGATCGAAAGGTCGACTTCAGATGTCGCAAGCCTTGTCTTCATTTGTGAGCAGAAGAAACTCTTCCCAGCACCTGGCAGGCCAACGACCAACACGATATGAGAATGGGACGACATTGTGGCACTAGACGTAGAAGACATTTTCTTTGTGTCTACTCTAGTTGTAACTAACTACTAACTATCTAGTATAACTGTGTAACTTTCTAGTGTAACTTACTAAGCCAACTGAAGAACTTGATGCTAGATACAACCCTACAAGATCAAGAGGCGCTTCATCACTTCAAATTTTTCATCTATGCTGGCGTTTGTTTCTTATCATATCTTGAACATCTTCATACCCCTCGGCGGGCCACTGCTGCTTGTACACAGTTGTCACGTTACCGCTACGGCATGGGCTTCTGGTTTTTCAATCATGTGAACAGGCGCATTCATTTCAAGCGTTTTCACCTGCGTTTTTTTCAACAATGAAGCAGGGAACACATAAACATCGTGAGGTCTCTCTATTAAACATGTAGATTGAATACACATCTCAACATCATCTTCAACATGCCCCAGCCGCATTCAGATTCTTCACGATCCATTGTCGACTCAAATTCATCTCATGATTCATGTAGAGCACATCTGACCTCAGTAAGGCATACTGCTGTCGCAAAAGCTTCACCTTTTGTAACATTTCTAGACATGTGAGACGGTGAGACCTAGAAAATTGCAGTTCTCCGTCGGAAGAGTCAGTCGTCCCACCAGGTAGGAGTCCTCCTGCAACACCTCCTCCTGTTGTGCTAGAAATACTGCTTGTTTTCTTGAGCGTGGCAGTGTCACCTCCGCTAGATGAAAGAACTGAAGATGCGTTTTTTGCTGAAAATAGACCATGTTGTCCCACCTTCGGCGCACCTGGTACTTTCACGTTCTGCAGTAGCAGAAGGGCTTTTGCGACAGAGAGCTCTTCCCGCTGATTTGCTCGCTCTCGACGGTTCGCAAGAATTTGCTTCTCGAAGCTCTCAAGACACAGAGGTGTAAATGTTGTTGTCGAGGAAGAGTCTGCAGTTGTAATAAATGAAGATTTTTCTTCAGCAGACGTTGAGGTGCCCGACTTCTTGTTTTTCGAAGCAGCACCACCAGTCTTCGAATTCGCAGAAGATGAAGCGCCAGTTGTCGTTTTATGCAGTTCGTTAGTTTTTAGGCCAGCATCTGCGCATATCTGTCGCAAGACCCTTAATTCTCGCAAGGCAGCAACACAACTGCGCTCCAGGGCGACGGAGTTATCTTCGGCATCAACGGATTCGAACGTCATCTTCTTCGTTCTCCTCTTGATTTAGTCTTTGACTTTGTCTGCTGTTTTTTAATAAAACTTCAAAGGTGGAGAATGCAACAAGGTATGCGTCCTTAGGAAGCAAGGCATGCGTCCTTGCTCCTTCGCAGAACTCTTTTCCCCTCTTTCTCGACCGGTGAAATTGAACACTCAGCCTTGGAGGTTCAGATCCTCTAATACCTGTATCTTTTGCAGGTTCGCATAATATTTGATCAAGCGCTTGAAGGCTGTTCAACACTTTACCTATACAAATATCGACGTCCAGGATGTTTCTATATCAACGACCTGGATCTTATACAACGAATACTCAAAACGGTGACTTACAGCAAATAACACATTGAATCTATGTTAGTTTGTTAAATCATGAAGACTACGAGGACACAAAAATTTCTCTATCAAATTTCAACTTTATCATACAGGAGTTAAGAATAAGAACATATTAGCATTATAGCTTCTAGAATTATCCCACTTCTAAAAGTCTTGAAAAGCCACGTCTTTGGTACACTAATTTTATGACAGATATACGCTAAATTGACAGCAGTCTGTTCTTTGGATTCCCTTGATCTCTTTACGGTGGTTCTTGAGTTATTTTGAGTGCCTGTGAACGCTGTTTTTTGGTTGATGTAGTTAACGCTATGATCTTTCTCATGATGTTTGATGTAGCGAAGAGGACAGTGTCACACAATTACTTCATGTTCATTCATTTTCTACTCTTCTTTCTCATAGCTACTTCTATCTCTATACATTTTCATTTTCATGATGTGAGATTTCTGCTTGCTTCTACTGTACTTATAACAATAACAGTATCTTCGTACTACTTAACAATAACAGTTTGAAGGTCTCGTATACTGAAACTCAAAACTCCTTCAGCAAAGCGTCGATTTCCTCTACCAGCTTGGTTTGCGACAACGACTTATTTGGCTTGGAGGTTGTGCTCTTGCTATTATCACCATGTTGAAGTGGAGCACTACTAGAAGACGATGTCAAAATCCGATCCCTCACCAATCGCAATGATGGTCCCGTCTTACGAACCTGACGTCTCAACAAAGCTACATCTAACCCGTTCTTCTGTTTCTGTCTGACGTCTTGAATGATACTCAGAGCGAGAGAGTCTGCCATTTTCTCTGTGGAAGCACTTCTAGTTTTTTGCTGCATGCCAAGGCTGGTACTATCAGATGTTGATGTAGAAGTTGCACTAGAAGACGCGGCGACGAGTTCTCTCAGACGTTCCACCTTACCTGCCCATGCCATAGTTGCGGATGTTGAGGCCGTAGATGATGATTTTGTTGGAGGCAAGGAAAAAGACTGCTCCCTGGTCTCGTTTTCAACATCTTCATGATCTACTACTTTTGGTTCAGCATAGTAGTTAAAAGCTTGCTCGCCTGGTTTGCGAACCGTTGCGAAGGGCAGAGCAGTACTGCCAATGCCGGATGAGCTTCCTCCTAGTCTTCCTGGTCCACTTTTTGCCATCGTAAGCGTGCGTCCTGCAGTAGGTGCGCCCACTTTATTATTAGGGGTTGAGAGTTGGCGTCTCCAGCTCGCATATCTATGGCTTTCCTACTTGAAGAAGCCATAGAGATGCTCTTAGATGACAGGTCAACTTCCAACCCTTAATATTACTTGCTGTTCCGACTGGTGCCTTGCTCTGCAATTCCCCTGGTGCCTTGTTCTTCAATTCCCTCTGCACTAGACTAGTTTCTACGCAACGGTTGATATCAGCTATAGTGGTCGACCCTGGTGTAGGAACCGATGTTGGCCTTTCTTGCGTCTGATCGCCTGCTTTTGTCTTTGATGTAATAGATGCACCTCCAGTTGTGGAACCAGTGTTTGTGTTTCCAAAGCCAGCAGCTGTCAGCACTGACCCATGCAGACCTGGAGTTAGCAAGTTATCTTTACTCGATGCCGCATGGAAATGCATTGGGGAGTACTGCAAACGACGCTGTTCTACGGTTTTCCCACGAGGCATATCAGCGAACATCTTCTCATGAGCATCGGCTAGAATGTTTTTAGTACTACTACTTTGTTGAACGATGGAACTTGTTGAGTTTCTAGTCGTCGATGTGGTTGTTGTACTGGAAGCACTGGACAAAGTATTTGCTTTGTTTGGTGCTACTACAGGTGGCGTTGCTGTCTTTTTCAGCTGTGGTGGCTTGTTTTGAGTTGCAGATGTTGAAGATGATGGTGCACCCCTCACATTACCGAGTCCTAAATTCAATTCGGGTTTTGTCGCAGATGAAGTTCCTGAATTACGAGCTCTAGTTGTCTCTACCTTGCTTTTCACAGCAGCGATGTAGCTCGATTTGGTTGGCCCTGTCGAGGTAGATGAAATAGTCGTTATGGCGTTGCCCGCTGTTGTTGCCAATACAGCACCTCCAGTTGTACTACTATTACTCCCAATGATCCCACTTCCTCCACCTCCTCCTACTGATGTCGTACCTACCACAGTCAATTGCGAGCCTGAGCAGGTTTGCGCGCCACCTCCAGCTCCTCCAGACGTGGTATTAGCCGAAGTCGACATCTGCACGTCGCGGTAGGCCACGTAGGTCGTGTCCAAACCCAAAAGTCTACCGTCTTGTGGATCTGGCAACGAATTCACGGTCAGCAGTTTCAGTTTGCCACAACTTTTCTCTAGACCTTGATTCACCGCATTGTTCAATCCGCGCCATTGCATCGCTTTATTGCGAGTGGTTTCGTACTTCGTTACGAGTTGAGCAACATCCCCCATCAGACCAGAAACCAGGATTTTCGTAGTCGCAGTAGAGAAACTCAAATCTGGTGCTGAGTTGACCTCGATCAACCAGCACTTCCCAAATGCGTCCACCATGAAGTCGAACCCGTAGATTTCGAACGAATTCTCCCTCTTCGGTGCGCGTCTCTGCACACTATGCAGAGAGATCCACATGTATTGACGGATTTGTCGTGTGATGTCCTCAAATTTGATGGGATGATTACCAAGAGCAGCTGCTACGCCGTCATGACTGTGGAATTCCTCAAGATAACGCTCAAACTGAGCGCTGCTCCACATAGTACTGTCTATTTGCTCACTCTTCTTCGTACTTGGTTTACTGGGAGATGCAGTACTAGTCGTGTTTGACATAGATACGACCCTTTTTGGTGTTGGAGATACTGGTGGTGTCCTTAAACCCCTACTAGTCTGTTTTAGCGCTGTCCAATATCCATCTTTGCGCTGCATCTCTACTTCATCTGAGAACTGAGTCCTAATATTCAAGTGGAATTATACTCTTCAGAGATGATACCGATACGACCAAAGATGAATTATAGTGAGAGCAGCCTTAACTGTTCAGATCCTCCCATCTGTTGCTGTTGTTGTTCACCCCCACTGCTTGCCTGCTCATCGAAATCGGGACACAGCTTTGTTACTGCATTGTTCGTTAGGTGAATGTAGGGGTCACAAGTGCTGCAGTCATACTCACGCGCACCAAAGCGTAGATAGAAATCCTCGTAGTACCAAGCTCTGAGATTGCGCGGTGATTCCCAGGCTGTGACGACGACCCATTGGCGAATATCGAACTTCCTCTTGCCGATGAGCAACGGTTTCTCGATATACTTTTGGCAGATGACATTGTGGACAGACTGACTTTCTCTAGCGTTCGTGGTAGGAGAGCGGAAGTCTGGCAGGTTGTTGCTGTTCGAGGATGCTGAAGTAGAGTTTCGTCTAGTAGGGGAAGGAGAGGAAAGCGTGCACGTGGTACTCGTCTCAGCAGCGCCATCTTCTTCGTTTTTTACACTAGAGGATGAAGACGTGGCTACTCCTGCTGTATTCTTCGTAGTATTAGCAGCACTAGCATTATCCCCAGCTGCACTATTGCTGTAGTTATTAAGAACATCTTCGATAGCGCAATCCGCGACATTTGCTGCCTTGTTCGCGTCGTTGAATCCGTATAGATGCTGTAGAATTGCAGCTGGTGAAGCCATCACATCTGCACTTGGGGGTTTTCTGTACGCAAGTGTAGTTGTGCTAGAGGATGAAAAGCTAGTTCCTCTACTGAGTCCTCCAGGACCTCCACACATTGACGCAGCTTGAAGAGCAGCAGAGACAGCAGCAGCGCCGCTTTTAGCAGGCCAGACTTCAATCCAAGATGAAAAATCTAGCGCTGGTTGTTGCTTTCCTTGTTGAAGGACTGTGTTGCTCGTCAGGTAGTTGTTTGTGGAAGATGTAGTCGGGTTTTTAAAGTCCAATGCTAGTGGGCCTTTGCGTGAGAAAATGTAGGGAACTGATGATGCGGATGAGTCTCTACTACTACTTGTATTGCCATTGCTGGCGTAATAAATCGCATTGTAGGCAGCCTGATCCATGATGTAGTTACTACTTTGATTGTTATTGGTACTACTGTTCGCACCACCTCCACCACTACCAAATTGTGATCCTCCACTTCCCAGACTATTTCTGCCAGTTGTTATTTCACCACTTCCTCCCCGATCCCTCAACGATGCCACGCTTGACCCTCTCAAGGTGCCTCCAGCCATATGAAGGAGGGATGAACCCCTTGCAGCTCCAGCTATCCCCATGCGGACGATCTCGTCTAGGGTGTTGACTACTTGGATACCTCTACCTCGACTTGCATTCGTGGGTTTCACGATCCACAAGTTGTGTCCACCTCCGACACCATCGCCGTTCTGCCAACGTGAGGAGGCGAAAAATTGAAACAACAAGTCAGAGGATGTAGTTGTATTGTGGGATGTTGAACTGCTCTGGTTGTTGTAAGAATTGTAGTTTATTTGTTGATGTTCCCCACCAAATGCGGTCATAAACGAGGCATTCACGCTGTTCATGCTGGAAACTGAAGGAGCACTACTACGAGGACCAGTTGCATCAGATTCTGGAACGTGAAAAAAGGCGCAAAAACGAGGCAACTTTCCACTATAGCGTTGCGCGAGTGACCGAACTAACATTTCATCGGCAGTGAAGCCTTTGCCGAGGTTGGAACCTTGTTTCACGACCGCCCCAGCTGGCACTCCAGATGTCTTGCGTGAAGGCGCTACGACAACACACCCTTCTGAGCTATTGTAGGTCGTCGTGTAGCTACTACTCCTACTTTTTGAAGCGGGAGCAGATGGGGCATCTTGTTGACCACCTGTATCGCCTCCATTGACTAGTTGCGCAGATATCACCTCATCGACGGACCCACGCCTACTACATTGTTCTGACATCGATACAACTGAATCTTCTGACATCGAAGATGAGGATGAGGCTGAACTTCCCGTTGCTGTTGAACTACTAACAGCACCAAGTCGATCCACCTTGTTATTCAAGCCTTTTGCTTTCTTAGACCTTCCGGGAATCCATCTTGAAAGTCATCTCATCTTGAAAGTCATCTACTAGGACCCGCTTCGTCCCTCTTGTTACAAGGGAGGTGGTCCAAGAAGATGCTTCTGAACATACAAGCTGGATTTCGGAAAGTCTACATAACTTTATTCTTCAAATCTGCAGACCAGTCGGTTTCCTCACAGCACAAGGAACGCCACAATCGTTCACTGAGACCTGCTGCTGGAGGCGCGGATTGTTCCTGCTTATTCCCAGTTAAAAACCAGGGCACGAAGACCTGTTTCGCTGCACCAGGAGTCAAAGCCGATACAGCACGATTCACAGCCTTTTGCACTGCCGCAAAGCTGTGGTCCACCGTAGAACCCTCTTCCGGCAAAAACAAGCTTCGTCCATTGTGAAAGATCGCGTCTTTCAACAGCAACACTTTGAGCCACTCTGGCTCAAACAGTGGATACGAAGATTAGCGGGTATTTTCAAATCATTTGGCCTACTTTTCTCGCATGACACCAAAGGACTTTGACTTATTTCTCTTTTGAAAAAGTCTGTCGTAGACATGCTAATTGTAGACAAGTTCCAAGAACCCTTAAGACGATGATCCGAGTGGTGGATTCGAGCCACCTACTTGCATCTGTTCGCCCATCAAGAACGCGACTGCTACTTGCTGCTCTGCACCCTGATGGTACTGGACTTCACGGGTACGGTAGAGGCTGACAACAGTGGCAATGAACTCCTCTAAAAGATCGGAGTTCAAACGCTTATCGCTGAGTGGGTCTTCCGGATCTAGGTCCGACCGTAGGAAGCAGTAGTATTTTTTGATGCCACCAGAGGTGGATGTTGCAGGTGCGGAAATGGAGGAGTTGTCCCTACTAGTTGTACCACTTCCACCCATGCTGACAAAAGCACTGACATTGTCATGTCTAGTGGCTTTACTACACTGCACCATGTTCAGTCTGCCGGCAGCGGGCGCTTGTTTGTAGCTGTCTAATGAGCGCAGTTGTTAGAGCTGCTATCGCGCGTCGCATGATCCCTGAGGCCATCCCTGGACCCGCCTTTCTTGTTCACTTGAAGTCACAGCATGCTCTACTTGAAGTAACGATATAATAACTTCTGTTCGGACACCTTATAACCTAAATCATCTCACGAGAGAAGCAACCATGATTCAAGAAGTTAGTACTTCACTGGGATATTAGCTCACTTGAAATACTTATTAAATGAGGACAAGGATGGCCATGGCGCTGCGGATGCTCGCTTGGCTGCCTTAAAGTTGATGTGCCTCAGGATCGAAGATCATCTCGTCAAACTCGAAGAACTCCACTTCTCCAGCTGAGCGTTCTACAGCAGCAAAAACCAGCTTCTTTCTCAAATCGGACAACACACTGCGTAGCCAAAAATACTGGTAAGCACACAAGAATCGGCCCAAACCCTTCTTGTCACTCAAGTCGTAACTCGGTGTCATCAGAGGATAGGTCAGTCGCCTGGTGAACTTCTCGATACTCCTTTGCAGACCGAGCTTTGTGGTCAAATCAGCGATTTGGCCGAAAAAATTGATGACTTTGTCGCGGGTAAAACGGTCGTTCAGCAGGCTTGGAGGCGTTCCGATGTCGGAGACCTTCAAACCGAATTTGAGATCCCAGAAAGCATGCGCGATTCCGGTCGAGTCGTCGTTGAAGTGCCAACCTGAGGAGTTGTAATATGACTATGAGTTGTACTTTTTACTAGTACAACTACAATGAGGAGGGTACGGTTAGTAAGTAACTAAGTACAAAAATGAGGGGGGTACGGGTAGTAAGTAAGAGTCGTGGTCACGAATCTTGAATCGAACAACTAAGTAACCTGTTCATCAACTGAAACTACACGAAAATAACAAGATTTGGCGAAGAAGATGGTCATCAAATCATTTCGGCTTACCATACGCCTCCAAAGCCCTCTTCAGTGCATGCAAAGACCCACCGACACTGTGATTCGGCCCAAAAGTTGGGTAGATGGCGAAAACGCGCGTTTTATCGGAAATCTCCTGGTCCCTTCGCCATTGCTCATAGGCACCGGAACGGTTCGATCCATTTCCCGCGATTCCTCCTGGTGACGTGCCATCAACTTGGTCGGTGGGAAATGAAGATGAGGAAAGGACACATTCAAGGTACAAGAAAAAGATTTGTAGAGGAATGGACTCAGGCACGAGCAGGACAAAGAGCAGAGGTTCGTACAGATCCAAAGAAGTGGAACTGGAACTGGAGTACTAGCTCAGGAGCTGTGTAGTACTCAGTGTGCATATCGGCCGAACATAAAATTGAGTTTCTTGTTCGAGGTGTTTTCGGTGTGCCAAATCCTGTGTCGTCAGGACCTCTAAAAGACGAAACTGACCTACGCTTCGCTCCGCCATCTGGCGACGAGGCTGATATCCTCGTAAAAGCTCCCGAAGCCGAAGAAGTGCCAGCACCTGTACTACCTCCTCCACTACTAGGTCCTCCTACCGCTGCACCTCCCCCTACTGTACTAGTTGTACCAGTTGTTGTAGCATTATTAGTTCTCGCCGACGCTCCAATGGCAACAGGAGCTGGCGCTGCAGGAGTTCCTACTCCTCCAGCACCTACTGTTCCTGTTGTGCCAGTTGTTGCAGTAGCATTTCCGCCTCCACCACTTGATGTTCTAGCCGAAGTAGCTCCTTTGTTGTTTCCCCTTAGACTTGAGGACTTGGTAGGACTTGTGAGTGTTGAGACTACTCCTCGCAGCGTCGTCTGGGCACCTGTAGAACCGAGGACGGAGCCTCGGCCACCACGGATAGGAATGTTATTCAGCATGATGATGATCCCATGATAACAAGGTAAAAGGAGCCCTAATTGCGTTTCAAGAGAAGGCTGACGCTGCTGTTGCTGGGTGACGTCATAACTGTTAGGAACAACTATAAGTAGATGACAATGTACACCTTCAAGGTACTTGTTTCAACGGACGGAGAGGATTAGCTGTCATCAACGGGAGGAGTAGGACAGGCGCACAGAGATCGATTATTCCAGTGTATCTGCACGAAATCGTACTAGGGGCTAACGAATCTAGGGACAACTGCTCAAAAAGCCGATGTGTGAAATAATACCGACACCTGCTTGTAGTCAGACTTTATACCGGAATTTTTCACCGATACATATTCTTTATGTTGACATTACTCCTGACATCCTAGTCCTGACACTCCTAGACCTGAAAGAACCTAGTCCACCAGCTTCAGATAACCGATCTACAAAACAAGGACGACTGCTCGACTGAGAGGGATACTGGAAGAGTCGCAAGTGAACATCATCAGCGACAGGTATTTAATGATCTAGCGACTCTTCATTGTAGTCGTCGTCTTCGCTGCTGATACCTTAATGTAAAACAAGAACAAGTATTCATTTTTCATTCTATCCAGGAGAAGATTAAGATTTCTCACAAGTTGTATTAGACAACCAACAGTTGTGCAGCTGTTATTTTATCCTCGCCAAGAATTTGGCATCTTCAGACAGTCGTTCCTGTTCTCTGGAGGCCGCGTCTCTAGCCTCCGTGTTATTGAAGAAGCCCTCTGTTTTACGTCTGAACTTCTTCTCCTGCTCTCTTCCTACTCTTCGCATTTGCTGTTCTACATCCTTCTCCAGTCTGTGCAGCGCATCATGTGCATCTGCGTGGTCGCCCCCTTTAACCGCTTCCCTAGTGTTCCTCAACATGGCAGAAAACTCCGCTTTTCCCGGTGCTTCTTTTCCTAAGGGCAGTAAAAGTTTGCGGCTACAAGTTTGGTCGAACATTGGAACCCAACCGCTGAGTGGGGGAGCAAGCTTCATCCAGCAAGGTTGCCGGTGCTTGTCCTGGACGCCGAGGTCTATCACTTCACAAGTGATACAGCGGAAGGCAGCCTTGAAAGGCTTGGTGATAGGCTTCGAGTGCCAAGAAGGGCCAGCGAAAGCGCGAACCTGCGACATTTATTTGGTCGTTGTGCAAATTTTCTACACATGATCCACATGTCGGATAACGATGATGACCTTTGAGCGACATGATGCATCGAATTGTATCAGCGCTGATTCCTACAGCACCCAATAATAGACACAAGGAACAAGTCAAAACCAAACGTAGTCTAATAACTAAATAAACTGTAACTAGACAGACAGCACGCAAGGAAAATTATACCGCATTCGGCTGGCACACTTTATAGCTCCACCACTCAATCCTGTACTCGCAAGGCTGCATCAATTCGTGCAAAGTATGCGTCGCATCGGTATACAACTTAATCGGCATCCAACCATAGCTGTTCAAAGGTGGCGGCATCCATACTTGGGCATACTCTTCATGCGTATACTTGTGCCTCACGATAGTATCGGTTTCCAACATCGCGCCTTGGCTGAGGGGTCTAGCACCTTGAATCTTCTGCGTAGCGTCGAGGGTTGGGCCCCACCTGTCGTTTTGGTTTCAACACGAGGGAGCAAATGAAGTGTTGAGACGAGTGGTGGAAAGATCAAGACGAAATTGATGTAAGCTCCTCATGCGACTCAATCTTGACAGATGAGAACCACGATCAGATCTTTTTATCTCTACTACTGCTCGTTTACGCTCTCAGTAAACTTCACAAGTACCTCGGCAACACCCCTCCCAGTGCATTGCACAAAAAGTGTATTGGCGGATGCAAATGCTTCAAGTTCGACTCCGAGATGCCTAGAAGATTTCCCGGTAACATCAAGGGCGCCCATCCATCCATTGCTGCTCCCGTCATGTCATTCAAATGGTACATGATGATCTCCTCTCCGTTGGTTGCATAGTACTGGACATACTCCTGAATTCGGATAAAGCTTCCTGCTGGCATGACACTGACTACGGGTAAATACACACAAGGAGTATGGAAAACCGGTAGGTTGCGCATAGCAGTGAACTGAACGGCCTTTAGTTGTTCGTTTTTCTTGTTCGAAGTGTTGACTTCCGTTAAGATGGGAATCTTGCTGCCCATCCCCGGTCCATAGGCCGTCTCCAGAATCCATTCTCCCTTGAAACCACGGACATATTTCAAGCCGTCCTTACCAGGTCTCGCTCGCGCGTCACAGGGAATAACTTCGCCTAGCTGCGCACGACCCACCTCAGCGTCGTTGCTGTTCACGTCTGCAAACATCGGTGCTCCGTCAACGTTGATTACCATGTAGAAGAACTCTCCGTATTCAATAATCGGCTTGTAAACCCCTTTCGTCATTCCCGCTTGCACCCGTCTCCCATCACCAGCTTCTTTCGCCGCTGCATGGTAGTGCTTTCCCTCCCACTCCTCGAAATACTCTTTAGCACCTCTATGGTGTTCCGTGCTCGGCGCGTCGCCCCAACAGGTATTGAAATCTGGGTCATCCGCACTGCCATGCCAGCTCTCCTCGCCTCCCCAACCATAGGCATTGCCTTGGTTTGGATCACTCTGCATATGTTCTGGCCAGTGGTCTTGGTTCCAGTCCTCACCACCTTGGTCTGGCCAACCGCCGGACCAGCTTTGGTCGTAATACTGACCGCCGTCTGCCATTTTGATTTACTTTCGGTCTAAGGCTAGTCTAAGGAAGATTGAAGATAGAAGCCCGTGGCCGCCTTTGCTTTTACATGCAACTATGTGAAATGAGGAATCTTCACGAGAAAAAAGAAGTTCGTATCAAAATTCTTTCGACACATCAATAGTACGTACGTTACTAAATAAACATCCATTCACAGGGGGAGGGGCGGCAAAAAGGGCAGGCTGACTGCTCTATCTTACGCTTTCGGACTGGTTTTGAATTGAGAAAAATGGAAAGTGAAAATCAAAATACGCCGCTTTCGGAAGACTCTAACATGGGCACAGATTGATGAAGATAGGTTGCCTCGTCGAAAGATTAAATGTTTTCTCTCACGACAGATTGATAGCGCGCCAGGTAACTCCTCTCAGGACAGAACAACCTAGCTCTTACCGTGCGATTGCATCGGAACAACATGCTTTCTACTTACAGATTTAGTGTTTTGGTATTCAATCAGTCTCTCGTCGCTCAAGAAAGTCTCAGACTTAAAAATAGGGTTAGGCCGATGCCGATCTGACCAGACGCATTTCTATAATATTCTTTGTCTTTCACGAAGTCCTTTTTGCCTCGCCTTGCCGCAGCGGGTGCTAGGCCGCGTTTGGCAGCGACAACGAACTAGCTACCACCGGTGCAGCTGCGCCAGCCTGCCATCAGCAGAGACTGACAGAAGATGAACATGACGTCGTTTCTTGTAGGCAAACCTAGACGTCAAATAAAAGAAGAACATAAAATAGAACCCCCAGCAGATTGGCGCCGGCGTTCTACAAGATAATTGTACGCGATGTCATAGGCAGGCAGTGTGAAGAAGGCAACAGGTATGGCACGAAAAATGCAATACCCGAGACCACGGTATAAACCGCGCGCACCTTCTGTCCTGTAGACACCCTGGCCATAGCGCAAGAAGGAGTCAGTGAGTGGTCGAGGAGAGGTACTAGATGAACAAGGCTTGCGAGTCTCTACATTTTTTGTTGAGCCAGAAACAGAGTCTCTTCTTGCATTTCTACTATGATAATCTCTTTGCATCCGACTTCGAATGACGTCGAGAGGGTAGATACTAAGCCATCCCGTGACCCCGGCACAGGCTCCTGCCACAGGCCTAGGTAAGAACCCATCCTCACTGGTAAGCAGACTGAAGGTTGAAGATTTAGTCACGCAGTTACTGGAACAGGAGGTCCCCTGCAAGTGGTCCTTCTCTGCTGCTACTGCTTCATCCACTACCACTACAAGAGCTTCACCACCCTCGTCCGCTACTTTCCTCCCCTCCGCATCTGCATGACACTGTCCCGCCATTAAAGTGAAGGTCATCATGTACCAACCCCGACCGAATGACTCCTGAAACAAATGCGGCATGCCACCTAGTCTCTGCACTTCTTTAGGTTTGAGCATCAGAGGTAAGATGTCCCGTAAAGAACGCCAAAAAGGTATCACGGGTGCGGTTGCAGCTGTGACTTGCGCTCTGAGTTTTACGCAGACCATTGGGAAGGAGAAAAAGGCATTGAGGAGTCCTGACCCAACACCTGCTAGGAAGTCGATAGCTGCTATTTTTAGGACCTTGGTGGTAGTAGCTGAAGTATATGTACTTGCTGTGCGGTCTTTTGACTGCTCTCTTTCTTGTCCCTCGTCATCATCATCTCCTACAAAAGGCATCAAGAAATCTTTTATGGTACGCCAAGAGCCGAAAAGAAGTGCTTGGCTAATCCCAGCAGTCAGCAGTGGTCCTTGAATGCCGCGATAAAGCACTCGAATCGGTTTCAGGAGTCTCCGGATGTCTAATCTTCTCGAAAAGGCATTCTTGCTTGTTGTAGTTGTGGAAGATGAAGTTGAGGACCTCCCACCTGCACCTCCACCTGCTTTGGCGTTACTAGTACTACTACAACTGGTTCCAGATGAAGCATTTGTGGTTGCTCCAGCAGCTCTGCTAAACAAGCCACCATCTACATCTGCCATTCGAGCTTGCGCACGCACCTTGCCAGTGTCAAATGGATGGCCTATGCCCAAATTGACCATTCCTGCGCACCATCCTGCTAAGAAAGCCTCGTAGCTCATTTTGATGTGATCTTCAGCAGTAGAGAAGTACTACAACTACTGGTTCTAGAAATTCTCTTCATCAAATGCAGCAAGTCTGTAGGAATAGCACGAACCCTCTCATGGTGATCTCCATCTTCATACCATCGAGCTCGGCCTCACCATCGCATTCAATGGGCAAAAGAAATTATTGATCCTCTCTGCCGTCGTCGTTCGATCGATGCAGTACTTTCGTTATCCATCCATAATTGACAGGTCACACGACCCTGTTCGCGCAAAAAAGATCAAGAAGATGAAAAGCGTTTCATGCTGCCTGGTGCGTAAAAATTAATATTAAGTCCCCTGAAAAAATACTGCATATCCATGTTGATTTCACAATCTGCGCAAATCGTCCCCGCGAAAAATTACTAAAATTCTCAAAAGATGTTCGAAACGTGACTTTTGCTTTTCCGGTGTAATCGATATCTCTTTCCAACAAGAAGCAAATCAAAAAGGACTAAAAACAAAAACTGGACAAAATATTTTTCTTAGTATCATAGGGAGAACAATCTCCATTACTTTTTATCGGACTCGGACTACAGCACAAACCCCCATCACAAATGACCACTTCATCAAGTCTGTTTCTCAAACTTCAATTTCTTGAACTGTTCCGCAAATTCGTCCAGCTTCGTCTGAGCATCCCTCAGTAGTTCCACATCCTGCGACCTGAAGGTCTGGTTACACATCGGACACGGGTCGTCGGTATTTTTCGTAATCTCGTTAGAGCTAGAAGAAAACCCAGCCTCCAGAAGAAAACCCACCTTGTAGAGCCCGTTTCCCCTTAGAAAACGGACCGAAGCTGCTTGTTCAGATGGATTTCTTCGAGCCTTAATCTCGCTAAACCTTGCTGGAAAGAAGCACTTGGGACAGTTCGAATACTCGTCTCTCGTGACGAAGAGGCCACTATAGATGCACAGCGGCAGAATGTTCAGGCAGTGGCTGCAATCGACTGACGATCGTGCGATCATTGTTGCGCAGTAGGGGCAAGGAGCATTGCCAGCGGAGATGGCGGTCTTTAGAAGCAGGGGATGGAAAAGAGAGGTCATCAACAAGATGAGAAACTACACGTAGTAGAAGAGAACGTCCTCTTTCTTTTCATCTATCATCATGACAGAAGATGAAGAAGATGTTCTTTTTGATTTTAAGTGTCTATTACATGATTTTCAAACTATTGTAGTCATAAGTCCGGAGGCGGCGCACCCTCGTCTGCTGACTGCTTTTTCCGCACGATCGTTTCAATTTTCCTCTTGTATTGCTCGCTAATTTGTGTTCTGTACTCCGGTCGCATCAGCATCGCTGCATACGTGTAGGCTTCTTGTTTCAACCCTGCTCGTTGACACTCGATCACTACTGACGTCAAGATCGGCACCACGTGTTCCGGAAATTGCTCGATGTTGCTGCCTGCGCGAAGCAACATGGTAGCCGCGTTGTGGTGATCGCCTAATTTGACAATGCGCTTCACGATCACGTACGAATGCAAGAGCGTCAGTCTCCTGTACAGCTCCAAGCCAACCGGCAAGTTCTGTGAGGTCAAGTCGCGTACTGTAGAGTACATCAAGTCGTGAGCGACTCGGTAATTTCCAGCATCCTGTTTTAGAGTCTGCTAGATGTAGATTGCATCTCGTCGGCCCCCTGATCTTCTTGAGGACCCCTTTTTTTACCTTGTAATATCATGATTTCATAAAGGAATAATACTCAAGGGAACAAAAGGGGACCAAGAAGATGCCGAGATGAATGACGGACACTGTAAATGTTGACCAACATAACTGTTCTTGCTTCGCGATCAACAAAGCTGTCTTGGCCGCTTGCTCCCAATTGCCGAGCGCTTTGTGCAACTTGTACACATACGAGGGATCCTTGCTACCCGTAGAAGTCACGCGATGCGCAGGGACTGCGCCCGCGTTGATAGCGTTGGTGTCGCCCATTAGCGCGTCAATAAGCGCTACAGTGAGCTTCTCCACTCTGGCTTTGCCTACCACATCAATCGCAGCAAGCAGGTCTGCGTCACTGCCGGATTTCAGGTACAAGCGGACACTGGCGTATGAAGAGGTGGAGGGTGTGTGTCTGTGGGGAACGGAACCAGAATGCAGCGGTGTGGTATTTGTGTTCCATGACAACGGAGACCTTTGCAACTCACGCGGTAGCTTAAGTGAATTTCTTTTGCAACGAAGAAGTGGACTGGAAAAGCTAACTACCTACAACCAAACATAAAGTCTCATTGTCTCCGCAGTTCGCGAAGTGCAAGGCTGCCTTGTCCAGCATTGACCTCGTCTCGTAGTAAGCTGCGATTTTCCTGTAGAACTCTGGATCTTCGAATTGGACTTTGGAACTCTCAAAAGCATCCATTTCATCATGCGTGGAGGCCAAGTGGAAGGCTTCTTCTCTATTGTTGCAGATGAGCAAAAATTCGATTGCACTCTTGATATCCCCACGTCGTCTGCAATATTCGGAAATAAGTTCTGCCCCTTGGGTAAGGCGAGTTTCGCGGACCTGGAGAGAAGTAGAGGAGGTTACGGCTATAGTATTTGCGTGGTTCTATTTTTCGGACTATGCATCCATTGCAGTTCTATTCGGACTTAACTATTTATTTGAAAACTAAATCTAAGTAAATTAGATTTGATATTATCAGATAAAGTGAAACTGAACTGCATTTCAAAGCACCAATTGAAACGCTTCGCTCGGTCTCTCCAGGTGATTGAGCAGCAAACGCACCACACTTTCGTGATCCTTGCCTCTTTCATACGCATCCAGAGCTTCTCGGTACTCCCCACGACTCTCCTTCGCCTTTCCGTACTGGAGAAACAGTTTTGGCGTCTGGATCTTTGACAAGAGTGGCGTTGCGGCATCAAAGTTCATGTCTTGGATATAAAGCATCGCGGCTTTCTCGTAATTCTCAGCTTTCTCATACATCTGGCCAGCCTCGACGTTGTGCTTGATGGCTTCGAGAAGGGCTGCGCATTCCTTGTAGAGGTTGAGACTGTTGACCTCTTTGGCGAAGCGCATACCGTTGGGGATGTCGCCGGTACCTGATGCGGATGTGAGATATTTCTGTTTGTGACAATGCTCTTCTGAAGTGACACTAGAAGAAGAGAATCTCTAACCAAAGAGTTTTGTTGTCTGAAGTCACGGAAAATCCCTCAAAGTCCAAAATTACGAATCAACGCTCTCGCCAATCCACTCTGCACTTCGATGTTATGGGCGTTGACTTTTTTGTCCAAACCGCCACCAGCCAGCGCGGCATCTTCTAATCGGATCACGGCTTGCTGATAGTACTGGAGCGCTGTTTGAAACTCGCCTTTGTGTTCCATCGTTCGCGCAGTTCGCAGGTAAATGACCGGCAGTTTGTATGGTGCGTAAGCCTGAGCTAAAGGAATCGCTTCAGCGTAGTTCATTAGATCCAACTGCATCCACAAGGCCTCTAGACCGTAGGTGCCACCGCAACTGAGCCAGGATTCTTGTGCTTCGCGGAACTTGCCTGCGACTGGGAGTTAGAAAGCCAAAAAAAATTTGAAAGTTGAACAATTCTTCTGGATGTTCATTTTCATTTATTTTGTTGTTTCAAGTATGTGAGTAGCAAAAATATGACGACCACACACACCCCATCCATACTGGTAAATATGTCCGCTCAACTCTTGTTTGCTTTCGATTTCGCCCAGCTCCTTTAGGCAAAAAACCATCCCTGGTGAGGTTCCCAATCTGGCGTAGGCTTTCTTTGCTACCTCGACGTCTAGACATTCGAGTGCAAACCACCCCAAAACTTCCCACATCCGCTTTTGTCGCATCTGAGCTGCATAATTGTAAGCTGTGTTGAGCCTGTTGAGGCCTAGACACTGGAAGAAGGCTTTCTCCAGACCTTGCGTGTCGTAGGGAACCTAGGATTATCATGTAGTGTGAAGAAAGGGAAATGTAGTATGACAGGAGACTGATGTGTTGACAGCTTGACGAGTTGATTTTTTGAAAAATAATATTCATCCGCTAGACACTTGACAGCCCCTCCACAAGAACGAGATGAGAGGCAAAAAAAGTGTGCTCCTCCACAAAAAAAGGTACAGGTACAGCAAGGAGGTACCAAAGAATTATGTGTCCTCAGATTGAAGGAGTCGAGTCCACCCATTGCACTCTGTGAGATCGCTTTGCCGTCGTAGAGAAGCAGTAATTTGTTGTCCGTCGGAACAGCCATCGCCTCAAAGTCTGGACCCTTTGACTCGAGACTAGTCTTAGAGGTGAGAAAGACTCCACCTCTTGGTCGAAGCTGTAGTTTCTCATAATCGCATTACCATCAAGTTCAACTGAAGAACATAATCTTTTGCAGCAAGAACCTTTCAAATTCGAGGTAAGACCCTGTAGATGAACATGAACCTTTCAAATTGAAACAAATAAGACCCTGCCGTCGTCCATAATCTTGCTTTTCATGTCGAAGGTGTATTCTTCGCTGAGTCTTCGCACGATCGCTCCTCCCATATAGTTTGGCATGTAGTAGTAGGCATAGAGGTTGTTATTCGAGTCGGACAACACGAAAGCGTTGGTGTCTACCACGTCCCACAAGAGTTCCTTCACATGCTGCGGGGCCTGTGGAACTGGCACTGTCTCGTCGCTGACTGGTGAGTAAACGAACAAGTTACCGGAAGTGTCTAACACCGCTGCGCGAGTCCCGAGTTGATTCGGAAATATGGCTTTGACTGCAATGCTGTGCCTGTATTCGTTGACCTCTGAAAAATCGCTCAGCGAGTAGTGCACGATGATGTTTGGCAGACTCACGTAGAGCAGGAATTCTCCAGCGACCAGAGGTGCAAGGGATTTCTTCTGGAAAAGTTGCGTTTCGTTGTGGCTGTTGCCCAGTCTTTCGCGGTCATCTGGGCTACCGGGAAGACGGTTCAGGGAGATCTTCCCGTCTATAAACGTGGCAGCGTGGGTGGCGGAGAGAGCGACGGCTTGGAGGTTAGAGCAAGATGATGAGGCAGGAGCAGGACGTTGTAACAACTACTTGTTGGAAGCTTCAGTAGACGTAACGACGTGGTTGGGCCTAGGAAGTTTCACTTTCAACTTCAAGTTGGTGTTAACACAAAGACCTGCGTGATAGCTATTGACTTCTTCGTGGTTGTGATTGCGTTTGTGATTGTGTGAGGTTATTTAAAATAAGCCATATCTATCGTCCCCATCTGCTCTTGTTCTAGGCAGAGTTCACCAGCAGGAAGGGAGTAGAACCAAACCCGGTTATTCATTCCCGCGCAAACGTGTCTTGGGCCTAATGCCAAGAACGACGGCTCAACTGCGCAGGTTATGCTCGCATAGGGCTCCTTCTGCAGGTCCGTTGAGGTCTGCGTGATCACGCTTTTTGCGGAGACTACGCTGATTTCTTTGAGACTCGTCAGATAACAGACTTTGTCTCCGCAGACACTAGATAGGGAGGTCAATCTCGCCAAATAGCAGTACAAGTATCCGTTACTAGTCGCAAACGTGAACAACTGCCCATCCTGACTCCAGTGCAACTGCGTGGATCGTCCCTCGGGTGAAAACTGAATCCGACTGGACTTCTGTTCTCGCCAGTTCCTGGTGTCTAGAAAGCGGATTTCGCCTGTTTCCCCACAAGAGCTGGCGATTTTGAGACCATCAGGTGACCCAGCGACTTGGTTCACAGATTGCCCATGCAGCTTCACGTTCAGGAGCTCTTCCTGGACGAGGAGTGTTGTGAGGGGAACAACATGGTGCTTTTATGGAGAAAAGCAGGAGTCAGTGGAGAAAATCTTCATTGTGCCATGAGAATTTTCAGTTCAACTGCAACAGTCGAAGTACCTTCTCTCCTCCACTAAACTGCAACGCCATCACGTGCCCAGAAGCAAAACCGACCAGCAAAGTCGATTCTGCCCACACGTAGCTGGTGATTTGGCCGTATTTGTCAGGAAAGGTCTGCTCCTGCATCGAAGAGGTCTTCCAGTTCAGCAGAACGACGGACTTTTTATTCTGCAAAAACGAGACGTAAGAAGAAGAGGAGGAAGAACCTGGTGAGGAGAGAAAAGATCGTGAGGGACAAGGAGTACGAAGCTGAACAGGGAAGAGGACGGCAGTGTAGTGGTTCACCTGATGGTATCAATAATATCATGAGACTATAATCGTTGTACTTAGTATTCAAGGTAAACGAGGCCCCTGGCCCTCTAAAACTCTACTAACCTCCTTCCACCATCGACCCGCCTGGCGATCCTAGTGTGCCTGGAGAGCAAAACTGAAGCTGTTCTGGCTCTGCTCTCAACTGCATCTGTTCCACTGAGTCGCCGTCTTCCCGCGAAATCGTCACATTTCTGTCCTCACTCCCTAAAGCTAGAATATTTTCGTCTCCGGCTTTGGTGCCTCGACCCTGGCTGGTTGGACTGCTGGCGGGGATTAGATGTCGAATATACGACAGACATCTGGGACGATGCGTCTACAAGACCTACCTGAATCTTATCCAAGTATTAGAGCTACCGCGGTCGCATCCCTGAGAGCATCCCTGGCTTCCTTTTCAAGTAGAAAAAGAGCCAAGGATAATGTTGCGGATGCTTCAGCGGTAGCCTTAAAAGTACTTAGGATTCCACAATGCCGGCCCACTATGGCCATACAGTGTATCGTATACACAAACTGGGGAATTACACAGGAGCACCACTATGGCCATTCATTCATAAACTTTGAGCCGAGCTCCACATGCCACAGCTTATCTTCTTGCTGTGTTTCCCCAGGATCGTCTGTTTCTTCATGGTCCGCTTGTTGTAGAGCAATAGGCCACCCTTGTTGGTGCCGATCGCAAGCGTCGTACCCGGTGATTGCGACCATACTAGGAAGGAAGGGTCGCGGGAAGAGACCTGGCGTTATCAAGTATGTTTGGTTCTGGTATTTCGTAACCTGAATTCGATCCCAAGGATTCCCTTCTTGTTTTCCTCATGATCAAAATCAGGTTACCAAATACCAGCACCATTCGAAGTAGACTCTGCTGCTGGGGTCGTCGGGTCAGATAAGTACAAGTTAGCTAGGTGTAGACCACAGTATCTTCACCCTATCTTATGTCTACTGGATTAGACTCCGAAGCCGAGTACCTCCAATATCTCCGTCTTTCTCGTCGCAATATTCCACAACAGGACACCCGGATCCCCATGTTGTAGAATCGCCAAAACCTCGCCATCTGGGTCCCATTCCATACAGGTGACCGGTGCTCCAATACTCTTCAGAGCTACTTCTGCTATGACCTCGGAGCCGGTTCGGTCGAAGAGGAAAACATTCCTCTGATTCTCCCCCACTGCAGCAACCAGGTTTCCACTAGGTTGCCAGGCGAACTTGACCTTGCCGTTCCCCAAGAACTGGGGACCGATTTGGAATAGGCGCTTCATCCTCCTTGCTGCTCTCGGTGTCGGTTGTCGAACTCAAGGCCGTAAGAGGTTCGAGTATCGAATGTCCCACGACTGCTCGTAGAAGAGGTGGGCGTGGGCGGATGTCATTTACTTCTTCATGGTTGCGACTGATTCATTCTGCTCATGGTGCCCGCTATCAACATATATTTCCTCGTACTTTTGTGCGCTTTTGTTCTTCCATTTTTTTCGTTTTTTGCAACCGTCCACTAAGTAACTCCACGCTTTTTGGACTTTTACACTCCGCTCTTTCTCTCCCTCTCTCGGCATAAAAAAACTTTACGCGGTTCGCTTTCGTACTTCGAAAACAAGTGCATTTAATGTCGTTGTAGAAGGTCAAGTTACTGTTCCTCCCCACCTTCGCCTTCGGACAGCCGAGTGATAAAGCATCAGCGGTCCTCGGCATTAGGATTCTTAGATTTCCTTCTTTTCTTAAATCTTTGCATGCACGGACATTTTCTCACTCACTGAGCTCATATAGCAAATTCTGCTAGTATCAAAGACACCCACTTCAACATCATCATGTTTTGATAGTATAATTCGAGAATATAGAGACTGGTAGATGATCATGCTGATTCCTAACAAAAATTATCTTCTGTCCAAATTACATGCACTCCAATCTTCTGTGCAATATAATTTCCCCTACTTGATGTTGACACAACGACGTAAGGTTTTAGTTCATCATTTTCGTTGGTCATCATCTAATGCATCAAGTAGTGTTATCTGAGTAAATGTAAATCTAGTAGTAAATTGCTTCTCGTCATAGTCATTTCGTCCTGAGTGTTATACAACGGTGCTCTACTAGCAACTCGTCACGACCAGCGCCGTAAGGTTCATTTATCTATCAGTGCTTTCTTATCCGTAAAAAGAAAGACCTAAAATTCTGTGCATTTCTGAGAACGAGCAGGGAAAACCATTATCATCTTCCCCTCTGATATCATGCGGAAACAGTATATTAAGATTAAGATGGGTAGCTAGAAGTCAAAAATGGTGGTAGTAATAGTAGCGGCAGGCACTACGACGACAGTGTGAGTGTCGCTCGTCCCCTCGTTCTTCAGTTGTAGTAGGACAAGCCTACTTATGCAGGAGAATAGTGATAGTGTTATGCCATCATGCGAGCCTACGAATGTAGTTGAAGAACAACTCAGAAACTTCTAGGATACACTGACTACGACTACACGACATCTAGGTACTCAAACAAGCACCTGGTGAGCCGCTTGCTTTATCATTTTCCCAGAGAAACATCAAGACAAGAACCTTAACCACTCAACAGCTAGGTAGCGGCTGCGGAAACGCAGTAGTAGAGCGAAACACGAACGAAACAAAAGATGATGATAGATTTAAACTTGTAGTGGTTATTTGAACATAATAAACTGGCATTGTGAACAAGATTTGTGCTGGTATCTGAATAATATTGCTGGTATCTATAAGTTTGTTTTTGTTATATTTGTAAGTAGATGAATATCGTTATCACAACCTAAGAAATTATAGTTGTAGTAGATGAGTTATCTTCTTCTATCTTACCAGAAGTTCTGTCGTCCTGCATTGATTTCTTCTCATCTCTATGCAGGACGACACCTAACCCTACTAGCCTCTTCATCTCTGTATGATTTTCACGGTAAATAAGAAAATAATCTTTGTCGAATGCATGAAGTTGCCGTCTAGTTCAGCCTAGGAGCACACCACAATGTGTGTGCGATGCTAATCCTGTTTGTTGTGCTTTTGCAATTTGCATCGCGATCCAATGCAGAAAATAACTTTGACCTCGACGTCAAACAGGACTACAAGTATGCTCAATCAAAATCATGATCGAGTTCTTTGGATCAAACCAAGCTAAACCAAAATAACAAGAAGAAAACCTCCCGCGACTACTAGGTAATATCTATGATCCCGCCTTACTCCGGTTTGTATTTCTCGAGAGGATCACCTGACGGTCTGTTGTCGATACGCAGGAGCTGGCGCATAGTCAGATCTCTCGCGTTCCTCAGATCCTTGTTGGTCAACTCCTCGTCCCTCAAAGTCTTCTCCTGCGCTAGTCGGCTATTGAAGTCGTCGCCTGTCTTCGTCTTCGTCTTCTCGTCCGCGGGTTGCTGATGTGTAGTCGATGTTCTTGTGAGAGAAAACATTTTTAGACTGTTGTTTTAGCTTTTAAAAAGCTTTTAGACTGTTGCGTGCATGTATCTTCTGTACAGGAGATGGCTGCTTGTACTAAGTGCTGGCTTCAGTTCTTTGAATGAAATACTATACAAAAATTACATTCAGTCATCTGAAACTGAAGTGAATTTAACATCATAGCATAGCCTTTGCCAAGTATCATAGCCAAGTAAGTACGTTATCATCCAAGAACTTTGCGGAATCGTAGGGTGCGAAGACGGGTAGTGAAATAGGCGGCTTCTCGCGTTTTACGACAGGCTTCTTGTCGTCTATCAAGGACGCCTTGGTCTTGTTGACGTCCTGTGCCGTCCTTGCCGGATCCTCGAGAGGATTCGCGCCAGCGGTTTCCAGGATTGTGTCTTTGAGCTGGGACAATTTTGTTTTCGTTGCCTTGCTTGACACGTCCTTCTGCGCCACTGCAACCTGGAACTTCCTCTTGGCTTGCTGTCGCTCGATCCTGTTGTTGTTTCGTCGTCGTGGGGCAAGGTTCTTGAAGCGTCCTCATTGGGTTCGTTCCCGTTCAGAAAAAACACGATATGACAAAATGAACTGATGTGGACATCCAATTTATCCATCGTGTCAACATATTAATTCTGTTGGATAGAAATCAGCTATTAATTATAAGAAAGTACCGACTCTTCGGCAAGAAGTAGTTGTGGATTTGTTTTCGTCGCCATTTGTAATGGTCCAACATCTGTAGTAGTTTCTGCCTGGTCATCGCACCACGCCACCTTCTTTGGACCTTCATAATCAAATTCTTTCGCCTCCTATAGTCTCTACGCGTCTCGATACCACGGGTCCAACCTGTCGTGCATGTGGGTGTGAGAGTAATCCTCGGTGGGATACATAGAAGTAAATTTCTCTACTATCATGATGAAGTCATGGCAGGATTATGGTCGCATAAATAAAAATTCGATGGAAGCAATTCAAATTCTAATGGATGGATCTCAATGTACCTTGCAATTTCATAATCGCCCACATCACTCGCGGTCGCGCACGCCGTAAGTGTTCCTGTACCACGGGGTCTAACCTCTCAAGCAGTAGCAGTATATTCGATGCGTCCAAGAATAAATGGAGCTGTCGATTACCTGAAGAGAGTTTAGGGTTAGGGTTGCTCGGGAAAGGGAACAAGGGACACCATTTTAACTGAAACATAGAAGTTGAAACAGTTGTCCGTCGAGGTCCCTGATCATTCGTGCTTGAAGAGGAAGTTGTGCGGTACCTTTGCAATGCAGGAAGGTGAAGCAGTCCGTGCACAGCAATTCCTGTTCCTGTTCGTCGAAGACTGTGGCTCTCACGTTGGCGCACTGATTGCACATCGGCGTTACACTCACTTTGGTGATCGTATGTTCTCTTCGATGACCGTTGAAATGGCACTTCCAGAAGCACTGCAGGCAGAAGTTATCGCGACAGAAGTCACCTGGAACGTAGGATAGCGTAGAGGGAGAAGGAGGTTTCGATTGTGTCATGAGAGATGGACAAGGATATGGAGTCAGTGGTCGTGAAGATTCCGGACTTTAACATCATGAGTTGTACAAATAAAGTTCTTAATATGCCGCCCAAGAAAAACTACAACTGAATGAATCTGACTCAACATGAGCATTGGAGGACTTCAGTACAATGAAAAGCCGCAAAGTTGTCCTCGCATTCTTCGCACATGACGCTTTGCTCGATAATCTCCCCATCCGACACCGCCACCAACATCGCTCTATGGTCAGAACGGAAACCCTTCTTGTGCATCGCCTCAAAGCACGTGAAGCAGAAGTAATCCTCACATTAGAGCTGAAAGAAATTCATTTCATCTTGTTGCCTTCATTTCTTCAGAATCCTAAGAAGGAAACCGAAGAAAATGACCCTTGGAAATGAATCCTATCGAGCCTTAATCACAATTACCGCAGAAGACTTGTGGTTTCTTCACGTTACAAGACGAGCAAAAAGACCCTACTGCCGTGTAAACGATACTATGGTCTTTCTTAGGGCCAACTGCGAATTTGTGGAGGTTGTCAAAGCAACCCTGACAGTAAGACTGCAAGCATTGGTTGCACTTGATGGTCGCTTGGAGGACACCTGCATGGTAGAAGGGAGTGGGAGGTGGAGGAGGTGGAGAATATTTAGAAATAGATATAGAAGGTCCTAGTTTTCGTGAATAGGATTTTGTGAACCGCGAATTGACGCTGCTTCATTGATTCTCCTTCTACTCCGCCTCACAAGAAAACTAGGAAGAACAACGTCTAAAAAAAGCGCACCGCAATCCTGGCATGGAATTTGCAAGTTCCTAAACTGCTGATGGAACAAGATGTCCGGCTGGCAGAAGAAGAGTCCCGATACAGCTGGCTTCGTTCTTAGCGCTAAGATATCGATTCGACTTCGTTCGAGCACTTTGAGATACCTCTGCGTCAAGGGATGTTCCAAGGTATAGTAGTCGTTCTCCAAATCGTGGAAATACACGATGTTGGATTTACCTGTGGTGGGCGTGGGTTGATTGTTGTTGGGTGCATTTGTGGTTCGTTAAAGACGCTGTTTTTAGCTTTGACATCAGAGGTGATTTTTCTAGTATTGATCTTTATTGGACATGATGTTTCTAGTAATATTTTTGATACCGACTAGTTCTACGAAAAATCAACAGTTGTAGATGAAAAAGAAACAAGAATAACAAACCAAAAAAACATGCTTACTAATAATCATCTCCGCATTTGGCGGCATAGGTGCGTTGCACATTTCCCGCCCAACCCATGTTAGCTCCGGCTCGAATTCCAGTTCGATTCCCAAGTACTCCACGAAATCCATTACCTAAATGAATTTTTTTCCGAGAAGTCCTCGCTCTCCTTCATCAGTTATGTCTTCTAGACAGGTCAATCGACAAATAAATGTATATGATCCGAGGAGCATTCTTCAGCAAGTAACTTCACCATTCGGTACTCAGTCGAAAATCTCTAAAAATCATACCGTCAACGCATATTCTCCACTCGCATTAGGTTTCATCTGCAAAACCCTGGTACTTCTCGTTTCGTCCAAGAATTCCTGTGTTGCGAGATCCAAGTTGGTGCCGGCGCTCGGACCCTGATCCACGTCGAACTCGTGTTCGCTCTCATCCTCGCTATCGAGGTCATTGTAATTCTCCTCCATCTTGTCGTATGATCTAGCTGTTTGTTCTAGCAAGGAACAAGTGCGTCTAGAAGATGAGAAGCTTAGTGCTGACTTCTAGTCGGGGAGTAGGTAGAAGTAGAGGAAGAGGTGGCTCTTGGTTCCTTGTAGTTTGTTCTTTTTGCTTTTCCACCTCTGTTGCTTTTTTATAGCAGAAGAAGGAAAGCTAGTAGACCTTGACCTCCTTCGATTACACCTCTTCGAGGCAACGACGGAGAGATGACAGGTAATGGCTCACGGCGGTGACTTATCCCGGTACTGTCACACCTCGTGGATCCAGGTGGGGTCCTCCCGGACCCAAATTACCAGCCATGTTATTCACAATCTTCTAACTATTCCTTAGATTTGTGTATTTTCAGATAGGATGCATTGACTTTGATTCTCTTTTTCTAATCGGAGCTTTGCCTTTTGATGTTCGAGGAAGTTGTCTGTAGTTGCTCTATTTTGTTAATTGCTTACACGTATTATTTCATCGACCAACGCCATCCTGTTAATTTTATTGAGGTACTTCAAATCAATGCTCTTGAGTTGCAACAAGAACAAAAAACCGCCTAAAACGACGAAATTTGGACGACTTGCTATGTACATGGAGGGGTCGATCGATCTCGAATAACAGGGAGAGCTTGGGACGAGTGTTTCTCACCCTCTCGCTCAACTTGCGTCTCTTGCTCACACCTACGCGCATACTCTCACGTCACCGCTCTGGACCGAAGATCTCGCTCGTTTGACAAAAAGGAACAATAACTCCAAAGGTATTCGACGAACAGGGTCTTTATTCTGCTCCAGAAAAAACCTAGACCGAATCCAAAAGACATCCGAGGTTATGCACACGTCTCTCCCTCGTGCTCTTTGGCTACAACTAAAAAGTAATTCTATTGAACACCTACCTCAATACTTTCCATCATGCCTAGAACACTTAATGTGCGACTATGTCTTTTTTCTTGCTACAAATTTGATTTATCAGGGGCTTTTTCTAGTGACAAATAGAATCAGAATGACCTTAATAAGCTTAACAACAATTATATCAGCGTTGTAGTCGACGGACTGGGTCTCTGGAGTCATGATTCACTTCTGAATTTTAATGTGGTCGCAGCGAAGACGCGACCAAGCATGATACGAGAAACCATTGCATTATGTGCCAACTCTACTGTGTGTGTGTTCGTTCAAATGTTTTTTCCCATCTTTAGTGAGAGGATGAATCTATTTCATCATGTTCAAAAGTTATCACACTCGGATGCAAAAATGAAAACGAGAAATTACGACGACGATATTGAGTTTTCTATGTCGTCATCTCAACAAGTTAGAAACCGATGGAAAAGGTGCATGGTTCCAGTTATATCATGGCGGGGGAATGAGTGTACTATTATGGCGGGTGCTCTTTCGTGGGAATGAGTGTACTATTTATCCACCTGCTAGTAACTAGTATGGTATGTTAGGGAAAAACAAGGTGTCTTCTTCTATCAACAAAAAGTCTTTTTGACAAAACCCTACAATATGTCACACATAGACTATACAGTCCACGACTCAGCTGGGGACGAGTTACAACAAAACTGGTACAATGATACTTAAATATTAAGAGCAATAAAACTTTGCAAACACATCCCTTCGGAAACCTCAACCTCCAACACCCAAACCCAAAACCTCCAACACCCGAACCCAAAACCTCCGACACAAAAACAAACAAACCCC